CAATCCCAAAATACCATGTGCAGTTATTGTTGTTTTGTCCCATGTCTTGCTGATGCAGATTGCTCCACAATGTTGCCGTCCCGAATCTGTCAGTGCCGATGAGACGTGGAGCTGCATGGGAGCCTTTAGCTCAACTGTTACTCATCAGTCGTCTCCTGCTGTCATCCAACATGTTGTCTTCAGACGTCGCCTCTCCCTGAAACAGAGCGGCAGAATCCCATCGTCTTGTCTGTGTACATAAAGATCAAACGCACCTCTTTGTAAATACAGTTGTGCCACATGCAGCAGTAAGTCAAAGGAAATCCTCCTGTTGAAGCTCTCAGCCTTCATCTTATCTGCTTTGTTACCCTTGAGAATCATCACTGACTGTAACAGAACCAGATATAACAACAACAACCGAACATTCACTGGAAGGAAATACATACTTTACTGTTAATTTAAACTTTTAAAGTATAAAGTTTGAAAAATAATTGCCTCCAGGCATGAAGATCATCCAGCTGCACATTCAGAAACATGTCTGCGTATAATGGCCGCATAATGAAGAGCAGCTAATGAAACGCATATCCTGTCAGATTTCATGCAATTTGGATGTTAAACTATGGGAAACTACTTGCAGCCCATTGAGGCTATAATGTTAATTAAACAAAACGTAGTGCGATCAGATGTTATGAAATAAGACACATACAAACTCGGTGGAGCATGAAACAATGCAGCCTCCAAACAATCTCACTGAACACTGGAATAAATGCACAAAACTAGATCCAAGGTGGTGTATACAGACAGACACTCTCCATATTACAGACTGGATCTTGATGATGATATGAGATAATAAACATATCTGGATACAGATCCATTAACTTGTATACCATTGGATCTTTTTCCAGATACAGGTCCTTTTTGTCCAGTTTAAATTGCAGCTCTGGTCCAGTGGGGCTGTTCATTAGGCAAGCAGACAGTGAAGTGGTCATAAATGTTAATTTAATTGCCACGCTGCCCAAATAGGCATGCAGCAACATGGTGCTGTTATTTAAACCACGTATGGTACGCCAAACAAGCCAGCAAATCAACCACCTAACTAAGAAACCAAACATCCAACCAACCAGCTAATCAGCCAACTGGCAAACCACATTTATTCTGGAATTCCCCACTCATCAATAGAAGTGAATTTATCTACTGCAAGCTGAACCCATAGAAAATATTTAATTGACTCTGTACAGAGCAATAGGGTGTTTCCCTTCATTTCAGGTACATTTTGTGTTCTCTGTTGCAGCATCTAGTGGCAGCTTGATAGTAGTTGCTGGTTTTCACAATTACATGACTAATTATGCATCTCGTTTAAGAAATATCATGCACTGTTTGTAAATGAAGCCGTCAAACAGTGTTAACTGTGTGCATCACCTGTGCTGAAATTAATTTGAGTCAGGTTTGAAGTGCTGTAGATGAAACAAAATGTTACGCATTCCATTGGGCATTTGGTCTTCTTCTTGTGACTTTCAAGTGACACTTTAACGCTGTTGCAACAAAATAGAGACATCAAAATATTTATCAGCAGGAACAGTGGAAAAATAAATTGGCAGTGCTGCCACTCAGTGAGTGACATTTCAATATGTCTTCTGATGGAGAAAAACCCAGAGCCAGACAAAAGTTGGAAATTCAATTTGGAGCGTCAAAATAGTTATGGTGCCTGCAACTGACACAAAGGAAATTGTTATGTTTCAGCGAAAAGTGAGAGGACGGTAAAGTCCTGCAGCTTCTCAAGGACAATAATCGGACAAACACATAAATCAGTTTGGACGGGTTTTTAGTTCACTGTTCCTGAAGAACCACAGAACTTGAAGATCCCCTCTAGACTTGTATTAGGATATATAAATAATTAGTTTTGAACAATAATTTGTCTGACATTTTCTCTGCAAAAAAAGTATAACTTCTGCATTAAAATCCTAAAAAAGGCATGTACTCCTTCTACCTCATCAAAAATCCTAGAATATAATATTTCTAAAGTTTTCCTGCTGGACACAAGATGTCTCCTACTTCACTGTAAAGTCCAATTCTCAGTGGATGTGCACTGGTGGCTTCAAGTTTCTACATCACACTGTACAAGTTGCCATACTGGACCAGGACTGACTTTCA